TTATTCAGTAATGGAAGTGAAATTGAAATAGTTAATTTTCTAATGTAGATGTGGAAGGGCATAGCTACAGATTCAGAAAAAGTAATTTAGAATCAAGAGGGAGGGAAATAATGTGACTAAACTGACTAAACTGACTTCTCCAATGAAGTCGCTGCATCGGGGTGGCTTCCAACCAACAGCACAGGAAATATCTCCAAACACTTTGTCACTCAAAAGCAGAACCCAAATAATTTTCATTCATTCCCTTTAAAGGTTCAGACACCTGAGTTTTACTATTTAGGGGCACATTTTAATCACTGATGTTTGGTGCTTTCCAGTGAAGTGTTTCTGCAGTTACTGCTCAGGCTGCGACATCAGGGTTCCCCAGACAGCAGAATCCACTCCATGAAATGAAGCATGGAAAGGAAACATGTGGGAACTCACCACAAATTAATTGTGAGCAGTTCCCAAAAAACTGACAAACTATTCTGAACAGCAGCGTATTTGAGGTCGGGTCATTCCTAAATGGTGAAGCAGAAAATGCATTAGCTGAAATGATCAATTGCAAAGCACTTTCTAGTCCCCTTCCCAAGTCCTGCAGGAGCACAGGGGGCTGAGTAAATTCTAATTTTATATCAGCTGGCCATTCCTATCAAAGCATGATGTACTCAGCAGGGACCACTCTTAATCAAGCCATTGTACCCATGGGTTTGGGGGAGTCTGAACCTTCCTGCTCCATCGATCCATCCCAAAGCTCCCCAGGAGACACCTGCAGTGACACATGGCTGGAATTCACTGGGTCAAACAGAGGTACAGAATGAAAAATTGAACTAATATCACATGGCAACTTCGTATTTCTTTCCCAACCTGATGAATGGATTTGCATGGGAAACAAAATGTTAAGTATGGGAGTTTTGCATAGGCATGAGACCTCTCCTGATTAGCTTTCTCATGGGAATAGATTGAGGTTTTATCCCTGCTCTCCTCTGAGGGTCCGAGATTCATTTCCCTATCAGAGCTCATCGATCTCGAAAACCCACAGATAAAACCAAGATTCTTTCCATCCTTCCATTTGAAAAGGCCGATGATGGTGGTTCCTAGAGAGGCTTTTTGACGAGGGGACTTGGTTCAGGTTGTGCATTCGAGATAAAGAGAATACCTGTATAATCCCCTCTGGGAAGAGAGGATAATTACAGACTGCGGGTTTGAAATACAGCTGATGGCTCTGACCTCCTTCCCTGGACCATCAATAAATACCTCTCTGCTGAAACACCAGGAAATTGGTGCAGCTGAACTCTGCAGCATCTCCTCCCTGAAAAAGAGCTTTTAAAGGGATGGCAGGAGCAGCTGCCCCTGGCTCACGCCCACATCCAGATATTTTTTTATATATGTATCTCCATCTTATAATTTACATCGGAGACATTCAAAGGAAGGTTAGATGAGCTCACGGGCAGCTCTTCCCGGAAGACAACAGCTCTCTGCAGCACTTTCATCAGAGGCTGCACACAAACATCCATCGGGAGAGCAGCGGGACCCCGGCCAGGCAACAAACCGGGGGGCTGGGGCTGTCACCGCTGCACCCGCATGGAACCAAACCCTCGGCACCTGCGGCAGGTTTGGAAGGTGCAGATGTGCCCTTGGCGGGCAGCACGGCGCAGATCTCTGCCCCGCAGCCGTGCCCGAGGCAGCCGAGCCCACCGGGGCACGGCCCTGGAGAGGGACGGGGGCTGAGAGGCTTTGGTGGGGGCTGGAGATAGAGCTGCTGTGCCTGAAGATGAGCGATGGCTTTGTCCCAGGTTGTCTCCTAAGGCGATTCACTGCTACCTCTTTAAAATGCAACCTCGACAGCAGCGCACTCCCACTTTTAAAGGGATGTCGCAGTAAAAGCTCCGATATTCAGGGATTCCGCCTTACCGAGGAAGAGAATTTACCTGTAGTGTATCTGGAGAGAGAAGAAAACAGACTTGGAAGACGGGCAGCGATTTGCATGTTCCCTCTGGACCTGTTTTTCCCCTTACAGCACCCCGAGGTCCAGCTGGAAATGGAACAGAACAAATAAAACCACGATAAGCAACTCAATATCCAAGTACCACAATTTTTCCTGCTTACAGATAATTTTGCAAGCAAGCAGCACATTTCTCCTATGGAAACGAGTCTGTACTTCGTATTTTTCTCTTTTTGTAGGCAAAGTTTCTTTTCCCTTAAACCCAAAAGCCGATGGTTTGCTGCCAGCCCTGAGCAGGGACACCGGCTCCCGCAGCTCCCGGCAATCCCGCATCGAAGAGTGAGCCGGGCTGCAGCTGCACCTTTTCCACCGAATATTTACACTTCAGAGCGCCCATTTCCAGGAATCACAATGGTAATTTCACCCACAAACTTTGGTGAACAAAGATGAGGAGGGAGAAGGAATGCAGGAGCATCCTCAGCCCGGACCGTGCTCGAGAGGGAGGATGAGGAGGCGCAGGGTTGAGGATCGCCAAGAGACGGAAATTCTCCAAGGTTTTCTAGGTAAAAACCTTTGAAGAATGGGTTTGTTTTGCTCCTTCTTTTTACCTCTCAAACTCAAAAGCCAAAGGATCCACCTCTGCAAGCCAGAAGTGGCAGAAACGTTGTGCTTTCTTTTGGGATGCTTTGAAGGCATGAGGCTCCTTATTCCATTCGCTGGATTCACAGCCGAGCAATCCGTTCAGCCGTGTTTTTGTCTTTCTCCCGGCTGTCTCTGAAAAACCCTCAGGGAGAGAAGGCTGTGACATCCCATCCCACGGGCTGCAGCATCGCTGGAGGTACGGGACTCCTGCTGTTCATGGAATTGCCTTTCCATCGCCTGCCTGCTCCAAGGGGCATCATCACATCCCGCGCTCAGGGGCTGGACCAACTCCTCCTGGTGCATTCAACACCCAAGGACTTCTCACCTGGAGAAATCTCCCACCAGAGGTTACTTGGAAAGTTTTAATTGGGTATCATAACATCCCTCCCAGGTAGACATTATTATATTATTATCTGCAATTTGTTGCTGGAGACAGTCAAGCCCAAACTGGGATAGTGACTTGTTCTGTGTCATAACACAATTTCATTCTGGCTGTGCCAGATACAAAGAGATAACCCCAGGCAGGCAGGGTGTTCTCCAGCTCAGGGAAGTCAAGGGATGGAACCCTTGGTGGTTTTGGACACCAGGACTTGTTTGAAATCACTCTCTGCATCAGGGTTTTTTGAGCCACAGCAAATTAAGTTGTGGGAGTTCATTTTCTGACAGTTACACCAGGGTTTGTTTTAAAGACAAACCAGAGCTGACTCAACACAAAAGGCTCCTCTGGTGGGAGATCACAAACCTTGAGGTTCACAGGGAAGATGGAGTCCCATGTACCTGCTCCAAGCACAGCAGCAAATGATTCACTGGGAGTTTGGGTGTCTCCAGTGCTGCTCACACACACCTGGAATACAACAGGTTACAAGTGGCACCTGCCCTGTGAGGTTCAAGGCTGCAGCAAGAGGCTGAGTCTGATGGAAACTCTTCCTGTGAGGTGCACAGCAGAAACGAGCATCATTTCCCTTCCCACACTCAGCAAGATTCTGCTGTGTGCCTGTCACTGCCGTGCTGCCCTTCTCCAAATCACCACAGCACCAGGAGCCAAGATGATGGGGTGACAAACTGCTCAATTTCACAGCTTCCTACAGAAAATCCAGAGCTATGAAAACAGAGGCTGTACATAACCAGCCTGCAGCACAGCACTTCCCAACACTTGGGCAACAGATGAAGCCTGGATTGCTTAGAAGGGCATTCCCACAGGCTGGAATTGCACACACAAAGATCATGCCCATGTACCTGAGCTGTGGTAAATCATTTAACTTGCTCTGTGCCTCAATTTTCCCCAGCTGCACTAAGGAGCTGGCTTGAGTCAGGAGCGAGTTAATGGCTTTGGTGGCTGGTGTGTACCAGCACTGAGGGTCAGCAATGTGTGAAGCCCTTTGAGGTCTGCCAGCATAACCTTATTCCTAAATCTGTTTTCCCTTTCAGATCTGACCCCTCTGACCTGTGCCAGTGCTTACCTGTGTCCAGCCCACCTGCAGCATCCTCAGGGCAGGTCAAAATGTGTCACAGGGGCTTTAGTTTTTTGAAATCTGCAGCCAAGCTCACCTGAATTTGCAGATTTAGAAGTAGCAGGATTAATCTGAATAAACAACACTTCTATGGGGAAAACCCTCTCAGAAATGCCAGGCAGTTTAAGAAAGGAGGAGGACAGAGTGAAGCAATCAAGCATCAATAAATAATAATTGATAAATAACAAGAACTGATAACAAAGATGACCTTGCATTCATCAGGAATGCTCTGAGCAGTTTTTAAAGGTCTAAGGTTCCCCTTTCTTTGGATGAATCAACCCAAACTTGTGCCCTGCCATTTGTAGCTTCCTGGGGTGGGCTGGGGTGACCCAGGGGTTCCCCATCCTGCTCACCAGGCAGGGCTGGAGGTGTGGTTGTTTGGGCACCAGCATCCAGCTCTTCCCCATCACCCTTTGCAGCGTGTTGGCGTGTCACTGTGTGCACGAGCACCTCTGGGATGTGTTTCTGTGTTTGCATGGTCAGGAGCGGGACCCGAGCCTGCCCAAGCTCCTGCCAGGGGCACGAGGGAGGGAGAGCCGGGTCACTGTGGGAAAGGTGATGTCCTACTCTGCCAAAAACCGGTGTCCGATCCCGCGGAAGGCATGACGAGCGCAGTGACACGGCGTGACACTTCTACCCCCAGCTGCACAGCCGCATGGGCGGCTCTCAGCCCCTCGGCTGCTCCTTTTCTCTGTCCCTGCAGTCCCCACTCCCCCCGGGGCTGCTCAGCGCTCTCCCCTCAGCGTGCAGCCCCGTCTGTGCTCCGCAGGGTCGCTCCTGTGCGCTGTCACCGGGAGGAGCCCCCGGCACCGTGCGGCGGGAGCAGCCCCGAGCGCTGCCCGGGCTCGGGGGGCTCGGGGGGCGCCGGGGCGGGGGCTCTCGGCCGTGCCCGCAGCGCTCTCATGCTTCCTTCTTGTCTGCAGGCTGGCTCAGGTGCTCCGATCACCTGCTGCTTGCGGGAGCAGGGAAGCAGCAGCTGAAGATCGAGGGGGACTTTTGGTTTACTCAGATGGCAAGAGACAATTTTGGTTCCCCAAAAGCCAAGGAAACAAAGCTGTCAGGCTTTAATGGTAGCTTGTCTCCCTCCTGCAGCATGTTTATGGGCAAACAAGCTGCAGATCAGACCAGGCAAACAGCAGCAGGTGAGGCTCAATAACAATAATTCGTGATTAATGGCGAATGTGGCTTTGTTTATTCTTGTTGTGTTGAGGCAACGCTGTCTGATGGATGCTGCAGGACTCCGGGCCCGGCTCAGCTCCCAGCTCTGCTGCCTGCCCCGTCCCTCCCTCACATCCCATGTGCCCCGGGAGGGCACAAGCTCTAGGTGACACAGCCACCCTGTCCCACACCTGCACGTGCCCAAAGTGACGGGGCTGTGGCCTTGGCCGAGGCTTCGAGGCAGGAGAGCAATGCCAAAATGCACGCTCAGTGCTGGTGCCTGCCTGGTGTGCTTGTGGCACAGAGCTGGGCTTCACCCTTCACAGCAGTCAGCTCCAGGGCACAGCTTTCCAGGGATTTGTTTCTGACGGTAGCATCATGCCTAAAAGCTCCAGTATGTGTTTCCCAAGTGTTGTGTCTCCATGCTGCACATCACCATGGTCCGTGCCTCCCTGCCACTGCCTGTGGGGCGTCTGGCAAACACAGAGAGGGATCCAGCCCTTCTCCTTGGGCTCTGGTGTTAAATCACACTGGGCTTGCCTCCTCCCCAGACGGGGTGTCCCATGGGTGTGTGGTGAGGCACGAGCCCTCTCCCTGTCCCTGCATGGCTCGGCTGTCCCTGGGGTGTGCACAGGTCCCTGGCCACGCATGCGGCTTGCGCGCAGCCACAGCATGATGGCAGGCATGCAGGGGTGTACCCAGACAGAATGCAGGTTACAGGGAGGATCATGGATGCACAGCTCTTCACACCACGCTGCGAGCAACGCCTGCTCCCCAGGGGAGCCTGGTTTGGGGGTGGCCCTTTCTGCAGCAGAGCCCCATGGCTGGGACCCTGCAGGGCCTCACGGCTCAGCAGCACTGCACGGGTATTTGCAAACCACGCTCTGACTTTTGATTTTAAGGGATCCCCTGGAGACTAACCTAACCTGTTCTGGGACTGCGGAAGAAAGCTTTGAAGTTGCTCCTTCCTGGAAATAGTTCTGGTTTCCTACGTCTCAGGGGGACGTTCCTGTGTTTGTTCTGCCCTGAACCAACCTCAGTCATGGCAAGCACTGACCACAGCTGCCAGCTCCAGGAGGGCATCTCGCCCTTTGCTCCCTGACTTGGTGCAGGTTCTGTGCTGGGAGGAAACTCCACATCCTTCAGCTCCTTTCCATTCATCCCTTAGTCTTAAAACATGAGTCATTTTTGTGTAGCATGTGCTGATTTTTATTGCCGTGCTAGCGAGTCGTGGAGCTGGATTTACAATATGCTGATTGTAACCACCCCCTCACAGGTCCAGTCCATGCACCCTCCCTGGTTAATCCTGGGCTTCTGATTCATTTTGGGCATATGTATTTCCTTTATAAACCAGCAGTCACTGCTGCATTACTCGCAGGAACCATCTGACTGTGGAACAGTCATTCCTGAGGAATAATGCCAGGGCTGAAATGATCTTTGGATTCTTTCAAAACCTGCTTTTTTTAAACCCTGAATTAAATTGGTTATTTCAGAGCATAAAAGCTCTGGTTAATTATGCTCTGATTAATTTCAGAGCATAAAAGCCAAAGAGAATTGGCACAAGTCTCACCCACAGTTTTAACTTATAAACCTTTATTGTGTCTAAGAACATTTCTTATGGAATGACAAATGGAAAAACCGAGCCCCTTTGGCCCGGTGTGATGCCACAGACCCAACAAGATGCTGCAGTTACCAGTGCCTGTGTTAATTGACTTTTGCCCATTAAGCAAAGGGAAGTTTGTGCTGGATTAATTGGGTTTGATCTTCTCAAGCTTCCTTTAAGCCAGGGATGATGAAAGTTTAGGGCTGTGGCTATTTGTGGGGTTAATCCCAGAGCTGAAGGCAAAGAAACTCTTTCCCCTGGTTCCTGTGGGCACATAATGGAAGCAGAGCTCTCGGCCAGCCCAGCTGGGTTTGGGGCAGGGAATGGAGGTGGTTGGTCCTGCCTGGTGGGATGCAGTGGGTGCTGGCACAGAGCTGGGCTGCAGCTGCAATCCCTGCAGAGGACTGGCATCCCCTGCAGTGGGACCAGCCACATTTTGCTCCACGGAGCACCCAGAGGGGACAGGGAGGGCAGCTGGTCACAGGTCCAGCCAGCCACACTGTGGACAACCCTCAGTCTTCCAGGAGACCAGCCCAAACCTTGGCTTTAATTACAGCTGGGCTGGGAGGTGTGGGAACGCAGGCGAGGGCAGCGTCCAGGCTTCTTCCTTCCCTTTAACCTTCATTTAGTTTAGTTTCATCACCCCACCTCTCACTGAGGAAAACAAGGAACGAATGAGACACCCCAGCAGCCGTGCTGCTGTCTGGGAGGGGCTGGAGAGCTGCCTGGAGAGCCTGGGTCTCTCAGCCACGGTCTCCTCTTGTCTCCCTCTCCCTTGTCTCCAGTGCCCATCCCCTCGAAGGCCAACGGCACCAGCATCCCCACGCTGGCCATGAGCAAGGACGGCCTGATCGGAGGGGTCACCAACCCCAACGAGGTGTTCTGCTCCGTGCCCGGCCGCCTCTCCCTGCTCAGCTCCACCTCCAAGTACAAGGTGACGGTCGGGGAGGTGCAGAGGAGGCTCTCCCCCCCCGAGTGTCTCAACGCCTCTCTCCTCGGCGGGGTTCTCCGCAGGTAAGCTGCCCCAAGCTCTGTGTTCAGCTCTTGCCTCAGATAAAGAGATGAGAAATTCTTGTGGTACGTTAAGGAATAGTATTTTTATTGCTTTTTCTCCTTTCCTTTCAAACCTCAAAGCTTAAATTAGGATTATTGCTCTTTTAATATGAATTATGTGGAAATTTATTTTCCCTCTTTGTTCTCTCTTTTCAGAGCCAAGTCAAAAAATGGGGGTCGGTGTTTAAGGGAAAGGCTAGAGAAAATTGGGCTAAATCTACCTGCAGGAAGGCGCAAAGCTGCCAACGTCACCCTGCTCACATCCCTCGTGGAAGGTAAGGGTGTCTCCCTGCTCCCGTGGAGGGTGGAGCTCCAAAACTTCCATCCCCTTAACTTCCAGCTTTCCAAAAACCAGAACTCTTAAAATATGGAGTGCTCACCAGTGAATGAGCATGGTAATGTCCCTGTGTAAGCCTCCACGCTGATTCAAGAATGTGTCCTTTTAAATGAGCAAATTTTGGGAAGGCAGCAGGCAGAACACAAATGAAACCAAGGCAGCAAATGTCCAAGAAAATGTGCAAGCACTGTTCCCCTGCCTGTGGTAGGAGGTTGGAACTGCAGGATCTTTAAGGTCTTTTCCAACCCAAAGCATTCTAGAAGTCAATGCTTCCATGTCTGTTTTCCAAAACTCAGCCATTTCTGTTGGATCAGGTGTGGCCCACAGAAAAGGGCTTCTCATGGGTGCCAAGCAGGACTGTGAGCATCCTTCTGGCTGGAGCTCAGGGTATCCCTCATGCCTTTGAGCTGTTTTTAACAGCTGGGTCACAGAGACCAAACCCAAAAAAAGCCTGAACAAAGCTGCCAAGAATTTCCCAGCTGCTCTGCAGCCCCGTGTGCCCACCTAAGGCACAGCTCAGGTGCTTCCAACCATGCCATGCTCAGGCAGCATCCCAAGGTCAGGGTCATGTCGCCTGTAAAGAAGGAAATGTCCCACATCCAAGTCCTTCCCTCCTCCAGGAAATGGGTGAGACACCGAGGAGATGTCAAAGTGCTCTGAGGTTTTGCAGGTGGAGCTCAGGTGTGCAGCAGGCACCCTCAGAGCTATGGAAAAGGTGCTGCCCTGGCAGGCAGAGCCCTGCCCAGACATGTGAGGTGCCCCTGCCTCCCCTCCTGCTTCTCCCCACCATGGAAATGATGATGTTGCCTCTTCGTCCTGGGAGAAAAGCACACGGGGATGCAAACAAATGGAATGACAGCTCTGCCTCCCTCCGAGCTCAGGAATCCATTGTGTCCCTGCCCAGCTCGGTGCAGGCAGCTGCCTTCGGATCCTGAATAGAAAATCACCCCCATTGTCGGCAGCAAATTAAATGACCCGCTTCATTAGGCGGAGGTTGTCACCCAGGGCAGTTGGTTCGTGCTGAATGAAAGGCTGATTTCCATGAAAAGAAAAGAAAGAAAAGAATGAAGGAAAGAAAGGAAGGAAGACATGTACAGTTTGATTTCAAGTGGCTGCTGATGTTTTGGTTCCTGCTTCCCAGCTCACAGTAAATAGGAGTGGTGCTGTGTGTGTTTGATGGATATAATTTCCTCCTGCTTCTAAGCACGATGGAGCCAGGGGATGTTTCACCCAGAGGAAGGTGCTGCACTGCCATCACCCAGCACACACAAACTGGTTTGTCCCCCTCTGCCCCAAACACACTCTTTCCTGAATATTTGCTGTCTTGGCTTAATTTCTTTTCTCCTCTCCACCTTCCTGAGGTCTAATCATTTAAAAGAGCCAATGGATGGGGTCTTGAGTGCTAATGAGATATTTTTTCTTACACTGACCCACAGCCACTCATAGAGATGGGGAGGAAGTTCCCGGAGAACCCAGGGAGCACCAGGTAGAAATATTCCCTTGGGAGTCCTCTCCATGTACACCAAGCACTCACTCTCTCTTTGGCAAGTGCTCCATGAAAGCACCTCCAGCCTGGACCCAGGGGAGCAGCAGGGCTGTATTTGCACTCCAGAAACATCCCTGAGCTCTTGGGAGGAGGTTTGCCCACAGCCAGGCTCTTGCTGTCCTCCTGCCCACCACAGCCCTCTGTGGACTTGCCTGCAGCTTCTCCTCCTCAAGATCTGGCTCAATGTGTCTTTAACACTAAAGCCAGAGTGTCCTGTTCCCCCTGGCACCTCTGTAATCCAGCATCCAAATTGCCTTTAAAAAACATTAAAATGTGCAGCCACTCACACACTCCTGGAAGAAATAAATCCTGGCTCTGGATCCAGCCCTGGCTCTGCCATGAGGTCACTCAGCTCTTTTTTATTATCCCAGTATCAGTTTTTCAGCAGTCATTCCTTTCTGTCTGGTTTTTTTTTTTAACACACAAACAACTGCAATTCTGATTCTTTAGGTTTACCTTATTTGCTCTTTCTCTGGAGGAGGAGATGAAGTGGAAAGTACTGTTGTTGTGTGGGAAGCAGAGACACTTTCCTGTGACAGGACTGAGCTCGGGGAGCCGGGCAGGCAGGGATGGGATCTGGGTTAATGCTATTAGGATGGATGGCCTAATACGTGTGAGCAGCAGGGGGGCCAAGGCAAATTAGCTCTGCCTGCCCGACCGGGATTTCGGGTGTTGGGCATGATCAATTGCCATCAGCTCTGATTATTTCCACGGGGACGCCTGGAGATGGATCAATTCCATCAATGGGTGGGCATTTCCATGGGGTGATGGATACGCTGCCTGCACGTCCAGCCCGAGGGCACTGTGGGGGATGTAACCCCCTGCCTCCTGCCCCTTCCTCCTGCCCCTGCCTCCTGCAGCCTCGGGGCTGAGCTCACTCTGTGACCCTCCAGTTTCCCTTTCAATCTCTTCTCAATTTGAGGAAGCCAAGTAGGAAATTTTGGAAGAAGTAGGGAAAGATGCAGCAGGGGATGTTCCCAAGTAAGAAATGCCTCTGCTGTTCTTCCTTTTGCAGCAGGTGCCCAGAGTCACTCCTCACCCTACTCCAAGGCCAGCACTGTCTTGATGCTCTTGTAAAATGTAGTAAAGCAATGTAGTAGAGCTGGCCCTGGCCTATTTGGCCCACACGGACTAATTGCCTTATAGATGAGAATAAGAACCTCAGTGGTGTTTGTGCAGCAAGAGATGAAGGTGGGGAGAGCTTTTGGGTGCCCACTGAGCCAGGGAACGGTGCCAGTCCCACCAGGACTGAACCCCAACAGCGAGATGGCTCTACAGGAGTTCCCAGTTCCCAGTTCCTTCCCTGTCCCACTGGAGATGGCTCAGTGCTGATGTCCCTCTGTCCTGCTGGCAGGTGAAGCCATTCACCTGGCTCGGGATTTCGGCTACGTCTGCGAGACCGAGTTCCCGGCCAAGGCGGCGGCAGAGTACCTGTGCCGGCAGCACTCCGACCCCACGGAGCTCCACACCAGGAAAAACATGCTGCTGGCTACCAAGTGAGTGCAGAGGGCAATGAGCCACTGCGTGTCTGCAGCCTGGGAGGGCAGCATTAGCCCCCAGGCTTTGCTTTTCTGTGGGGAAGAGATGGGCTCACACTGCAGGAAGGTGTCCACAGCTGGGACGGCCTGCATGGATTGAAGGGTTTGTTCCTGCAGGGATTGAAGGGTTTGCTCCTGCAGGGATTGAAGGGTTTGCTCCTGCAGGGATTGAAGGGTTTGTTCCTGCAGGGATTGAAGGGTTTGTTCCTGCATGGATTGAAGGGTTTGTTCCTGCATGGGAGAGGGTGACCCAGCCCTGGAGAGCATTTTGGTACTGCCTCATGTGCCCTTGCAAAGCATGGATTGAAGGGTTTGCTCCTGCATGGATTGAAGGGTTTGTTCCTGCAGGGATTGAAGGGTTTGCTCCTGCATGGATTGAAGGGTTTGTTCCTGCAGGGATTGAAGGGTTTGCTCCTGCAGGGATTGAAGGGTTTGTTCCTGCAGGGATTGAAGGGTTTGTTCCTGCATGGATTGAAGGGTTTGCTCCTGCAGGGATTGAAGGGTTTGTTCCTGCATGGATTGAAGGGTTTGGTCCTGCAGGGATTGAAGGGTTTGCTCCTGCAGGGATTGAAGGGTTTGCTCCTGCAGGGATTGAAGGGTTTGCTCCTGCAGGGATTGAAGGGTTTGCTCCTGCAGGGATTGAAGGGTTTGCTCCTGCAGGGATTGAAGGGTTTGCTCCTGCAGGGATTGAAGGGTTTGCTCCTGCAGGGATTGAAGGGTTTGCTCCTGCAGGGATTGAAGGGTTTGCTCCTGCAGGGATTGAAGGGTTTGTTCGTGCATGGGAGAGGGTAACCCAGCCCTGGAGAGCGTTTTGGTCCTGCCTCATGTGCCCTTGCAAAGCTGGAGCAGCTGCAGTGGCTCCAGTTCTGCTCTCAGGAGCTTTCTCCAAGCTGGAGCCAAAAACTCCCAGTGGGGAGGTGGCTGTTGAGGCAGGGAGCAGGAAAAGAACCCCAAAATACACCCGGAGAAGTTATGGATCAGCCCCACAGCTGAAAGCATTTAATGCTGGGTTGGATGAAGTTCTGAGCAGCCTGGTGTCCACACCAGCGGGGTTGGAACTGAATGACCTTTTAGTTCCCTTCCAACCCAAACTGTTCTGTGATTCCATGACTGTGTCCTGCAGCTCTCCACGTGCATTTTAGTGACCAAACCTCTCTCTTTCAGGCAAATTTGCAAGGAGTTTGCAGACCTGATAGCCCAGGACCGCTCTCCGCTGGGGAACAGCCGCCCCTCGCTCATCCTGGAGCCCGGAGTGCAGAGCTGCTTGACTCACTTCAGCCTGATAACCCACGGCTTCGGGGGCCCGGCCATCTGTGCTGCCCTCACCGCCTTCCAGAACTACCTGGTGGAGTCCCTCAAGGGGCTGGATAAAATTTTCATGAACAGCACGGGGAACGGGCACACGGCCGGGGACTCCAAAGCGTCAGACAAGGAGGCGAAGCATCGGAAATAACAGCGCTGCCTGCCCCGGTGGGAGCTCCCAGGGCACCAGGGGCAAGGAAGACCCAGAGCCACTGTTTTCTGAACTGCCGAGCTTGAGCGTGGGGGGAAACCCGCAAGGCAAACAAAGAAAAGACAGGAGAAAAGAAGGCTTAAAGAATTTAAGAAGAAAACAGTGCTAATGGACGTAGTGAGACTGAGGGAAGCCAGGCTGATGGCTTTGGGGTTTTGCCTTTTTTTTTTTTTTTTTTTTGGTAACGTGGATGCAGGAAGCCAAGTCATGTGCAATTTGATTTTATTTTGCTTTTTAAAACAAACCCATAGTGAAATCCTGACGTGCTCCAGGAATTTGTTCCAACTGAAAAACTGAGAGGAAAGAGCAAAAGCCTCATCAGTGCAAGACCCAGAGCAGGAGCAGCCGAGGGCAGGGGGATGGAGCCCTGGCTCTACCTGGATTTATCCACTGGTTTTGAGGCAAACACCCAGGAAACCTTCAATTTCCCCACCCACAGCCCAGCCCTGACACCAGGCCAAGGAAAACTGCTGGCAGAACTGCTGTGGATTTAAAGCAGGCCCAGGCTTTGTTTACAGCTTCAAACTGAGACTCACTGTGGATTTTCCTGTGGGCTGAGGAGCCCCAAGCCACGAGGAACAACCTCACAGCCAGCAGGACCCAGGGCAGGACCGAGGGGAGCCCCCCTGGCTGCTGCCCTCCCTGCTGGGGACCAGGCAGGTGAAGTTAACCCAGGACTAAACAAAACTCCACAACCCACAGATAACAGCACACAAGTTTCTAAGATTAGTAATAATAATAAATAAAGCACAAGGAGCAGAACTTGAACCAGGCCAAACGGAACTCTTCTAAATCTGTATATATTTATTTATGTGTAATTAAAATCTGAAAGTTTTAAAATGTCCAGTGCAAGTTATTTATATCAAATTGAGTTGGGTTTTTTGTTTTGCTTTTGTTTTTTTGTTTGATTGTTTGTTTGTTTTGGGTTGGGTTTTTTTCTTTTGAAAGATGAAAATCTTTGGATTTTCTGCCATTAGAAATGGGAATGAAGTTTTGGATCCACCAAACTGTAGCATGGACAAGCTAGGCTGTGATGATGATGACTCTAGAAGTTCTGCAGGATTTTGTACTTGCTGTTGTTTCTCTTAATGCTGCAATAGATGTACAACACCCACACCACAATGTCATTCTCATTCTCTTAATAAACCTCTTTTTATTTGAAGAAAGCACCTCCATCGTCTTTGTGAGAAGATCCTTCCCCTCTGCGGTTGTACCTTGAAAGGGATTATATAGTTTATTATATGGAAATGATATAAAATGGCATCGATTTAAGAAGGAATTCTCCAGTTTCATGGCTGGGGGTTGAGTGCCCAGGGGTGGCAGGAGCTGGTGTTCCTGCCTGCTGTCCCCAGCCCTCGTGCTGAGCCAGCTGGCGCCAGGGCAGATGAATGAGTTTGCTGATGTTTCAGAACTACTCAGGGTAGTCAAATCTAAACCTGTCTGTGAGGAGCTGCAGCAGGACCTCATGGTATCAGTGATAAAACAGAAGATAAAAGAGCCCCACTGATCTCCAGGCAATGAAGCTCCAAATTAATTTTGTTCGTGGCGTCACCACGAGCAGGACTCTGCACCAGCTCCCAGAGCTTGGAAGTAAACACAAAGGGAATGGTCAGAAAAAGGATTAACAAAGCAAAAACCAGATTATTGTGTTGCTCTGTCCTGAATGGCACTGACAGATCTGGTAAATTCCAGAACTCAGGTGGGAGCAACTCCCAAGGGAGGCAGGACCAAGGGCTGGAGCTGCAGGAGGAAGCACATGAGCAGGATGTGACAGAGGTGTGGAAAATTGTGGGATAAAAGGACACAAACAGGGAAAGATGACACCAAACCAAGAGGCAGGACACCCATGACATGGTCAGGAAGCAAGTTTAACTAAATCTTACGTGCCTCAGGTAAGAAGCTGAGACTTTTCATGGAACAGGTGTAAAAATGGCTTTTGACACAACGCAAGAGAGTGATTTTAGGGAGCCTCCTACACATCATTGCCCCTCACAGAGGAGCAGCTGCAGGGGCTGAGCTCTGGCAGCACTCCCTGCATTGGACTCTTCTCAGAGCTGCACCCCACAGGTTTCTCTGGAGGTGCAGAACAGGCTGATGGTAATAAAGGAAAAACCCCAAATAGTCCCAAAAGAGACCACAGGAGGTTTGAAACACAATCCTCCATTTCAGGAAAGTGTGAAAGGAAACATTTAATGTCCTAATATAATCTGTGGGGATGGCTCAGCGTCAGAAACTTGCATCTAAATATTCCCTTCAAAGCTTCGGGAGGCATTTAAATTGGGAATTGGATTGGAAAGGTCCCTTGGTATGAGGTTTGTGAAAGCAAAGACCTAAATGACGGGCTCTGCAGGTCTGGTTTTTCTCTGGACCTTCCTAAAGGAAGAGCCAAGAAACAAGGAGGAGTCAGGGAGCAGAATGGAAATAGTACAGACACATCAGAGGCTTGTTTACACTTCAAAGCCAGTTTGGATAATGCAGGGCGTGAGCCAAAAGCACAAAAACTATTCCTATTTAAAATTATTCCAAAGTAGGAGTGCCCTGTTCTGCATCAGCATAATCCACATTTAAATGGATTATGATAAAGGAGAGTAAGGTGCTTTTGTGCTACAATACAGGTTTCCCTACATGGGGTTATTTAGGATAACTATCCTGAAATAATTCCATTTGCAGACATCCCCTGGTGCACGGTATCAGAGCAGAGCAAGCGACACAGGATGAAAGTGTGTGTGTGCACACTGTAATATCCAGGCATGAAATATCATTTCCTAATTTAATCACATTATGCAAACCTGGCTTGGCTGGGGCACTTTGAATATCAAGGAATTCTTAGACACAGCACGGATGAGCAACGCAGACAGAGAATCAGGATCTGCCTCCAGTAATTACACACCACATCCATGGGGTGGAAAACACCTCCCTCCTCATTTTCCTTTTTGGGTACCTGCAAGCCTTGGGAATGTTTTATGAAGAACAGTCTGGTGCCTGAAAGGCCAGGACACCTCCAGTGACCTGTGAGTGGGAGGAAGTTGCATGATTTGGACTCACTTGTTGATTCCACCACAGATGCTCAAGATGAGTAATGGACACGTCACATAGGAGCAACTTTCTAAAAGCATCAAGACTTTCCAAAATTTTGGACACCCTCATTCCTGCAGGCCCACAGAGACACTTCAGAAGAGTCAGGGGTTGTGCAAGGCCAATTCTTGTCTGTACTGAAGTCCCCTCCCAGCTCACTGTCAAACAAGGCATGTCCTCTCCCTTTCCATCCTAAGAGGAAAAAAACATTTTACACAATTCCAGGCTCAAGCCCAGTATAAATTCCCACACTGATTACAAATCTCATCGTGGGAAAATACATAGGATTGTGTCAAAGAGTAAAAATAGATCCAGGCTCAGGGTTTCTATGCTTGTTACAGAACACGCTGGAATTTCAATTCTAAAGGGGAATGAAACAAAAACCCCAAAACTTTTTTGAATTAATTTTGAATGAATGACACATCCAGGGAAACCACATACCAATCCTTGACAAGTGAAAAAGAAAAAGAGAGAAACTCTTCAATCCCCAAGAGTCAGCTGTCCCAAGGGCAAGCCAAGGGGACCGTGGGGCTGTGACTGTGCTGCATCATTAACACCAGGGAGCAGAGGCTGTGCTGGAATTCCACACAGCTTCGGACAGACTAAATAATTACCTTTAAACAGGCACCTTAAAAGCAGCAGGGTAATAACAGCTCTTGGTGTGAAACAACCCAATAACCAGGGTTTGCTGACCTGTAGTTAATGCATTCCTTCCTACAGGAGAGCCCATTAAATTCCCAGCTTTACAGAGAGCCCAGGAGCCACGCAGCCTGTGAGCAAGGGAAGCCTTTCCTGCTGGTGCAACTGAATCAAAACAGCAGCACTGGAAATGTTTGCAAGGCAGGCAGTCAAATAAATGTTATTTGTGAGGGTGACAGGATGCTCCTGAGGTTGTTGGTGTAGACCTTGCTCTCCCTGTCCAGGTGCAGGATGTGCAGCCTTCATCACCCAAACAGAGCTGGCACTCAGAGTCTGACCCAGCCATCACCCAGAATGTGGCAATGCTGAGCCACAAGTTATCACTTCGGGCTTCCCACCTCAGCTTCTTTATACGGCAAAGAATTCCCAGTGTGGCCACCTGAGCATTTCCACGGGATACCAAAAATAGCAATAATAATTCCAGATATTGAACATCCACCCAGGGTTTGTCCCCATGATTGTGGTGCTGAAGCATCCCAGAACTTTTCCAAGGCAGGAAAAATTATGGCAGTGAAGTTCTGATTCCTTTGTATGTTTTTATCCTGACACCTTCAGGTGATAATCAAATTATGATTATTTTCAGCACTGAAAAGGCTAAAATCCCTGAGATCCAGAAGGATTTCTCATCAGGATAGCTTTGGTTTAGTAGCAAAGGTTATAGCCAAACAAAATGTTAAATGGAGAAAACTCAGCTTTTTTGGGGGTGTGAAATGAGTTCAGAGAAAAATCAATTTATTGCTGCAAGCCAAGAAGTTCTGCAGCACCTCAAGATGTGTGTGGATGCTGCAGCTTCTCACCTGACAATGGCTCTGCTGTGCACAAGTGCCTTAAATCCTTCTTGAGTTTTTTGCCACTCAAGTTTAGAACCTTAAATTCACTTAAAAATCCCCAAGAGGCAGCATTTTCTTGGTGTAACTGAACAACTTGCACCCAACAAAAAACAACTGGTCCATCATCCTCCTCTGGCCCAAAATTCCACATGTTCTCTGTGATTCTATTTATTATTTCACAGAACAGAGAAGTTTCAGCTAATTCTGCAATGGCATCTTGGATTTCTTTATCATTAAAGACGTGCTATAAGTAAATCACATTCTCCCCACTGGACACTCAAAGTCTTCCAGTCAAACTTTCCTCTGCCACAGACCTGATCAAAGTGGATCCGTGGATTCTTTTGCTGGATGAGATTCAGAACATCAGTGGCTGAAATGCCAAGTGCCTTTATATGAGAGTTCCACCATGTGTTGAACACCTCATTGCCAGCCACATGGAATTCTGACCAGATTCCTGTGCAGATTGGATCTCCCAGGGATGTTGCTTTTCCAGAGATATTTTTTTTTCCTCAGCATGCAGCAAATACATTAAAAAAAGTGGTATTTCCTATGAAAACATTTTATCC